TCATCCATCTAATAGTCAACCAACATCCATTCATCCAATACCATTCATCCAGTAGTCAACCAACCAACTAACTTTTCATCCATCTATCCATTCATTCAATCAGTCATCCATCCATTTGTCCTTATCCAATTATTTTTCCATCTATTTATCTACCCTTCCATCCAATCATCCAACTATCAGACCGACTAACCGTCTGTCAATCTATCCAAGAATGACTCTCCAGCTCCTGCTCTGGGATCCCTCAGGGTTTCCACATATGAGGAGAGAATAAACTCCTGTGGATCCCCTGACAATGTAACCACAAGTGTCCCATCTGAACTGGGTACTTAGAATGACATGTCAAATCATGGCTGTTATGTGGGTATGAGACGAGTCTGGCCAGTCCTGCTTCAAGGTAAACCACCATAACGTGGCTACGAAGGGTTTGTGTAACGGAGTCCACCTCATGTTGAATACACATCTACAGATTTTACCAAGACTGCTCAAAGACCCACCATATTCTGGCTGAGGTGTTATCTCGTGGTTTGGTCATCATCGGGTGCGGAGGCCTAAGGCTGAGCCAGACCAGCTTTCATCCAGGTTCTCATTCTGACCACCGTGGTTCACACCTCACGTCACAGGCCAAGGGTGGACCATAGATGGACCAGTAATCGAGAGCTGCTTCTACTCTGAAGCAACGTCCTCGTCACTGAAGACGAGGCCCCTGACAGCGAGGGCCTCACTGACGGTGACGATGAAGAGTCTCAGGCGTTCGTTCTTTCTGCTGTCAAAGTTTGGAACAGCTTTTATTTCTCAATCCTCCACGAACACTTGGCCCACAGGTAACGTCTCCCACATGAAATGAAGTTCCTCTCTGGTTTGAGTCTCAGGTGTCCTGCTGGCTCTGCCAGAGTCCGGTGGGGTGTTCAGATGATGGAGGACGAATATAGAACCTGAGGAGCTTCATACGAGTCTCATGACTGAAAGCTGATGCAACACGCACGCACGCACGCGCACGCACGCACACACACTATAACCGGATTTAGAAAGCCTTGTGATGGACTGTGAACGTTAACCTTCAAGTGCTGCCATGTGTGTGTGTGTGTGTGTGTGTGTGTGTGTGTGTGTGTGTGCGTGCGTGCGTGTGTGTGTGAGTGTGCGCGTGTGTGTGTGAGGTCCAGATCATGTTTGCAGAAGTTTCAGGAAGTTCGGTACATTTGAACTCGTCCTCTCGTCCATCCAGACCTGATGGGACTATTGGACGGTTTGGAGAATAAACTTTATTTAATAATTTATTTAGTTCTTTATTTTGTTGTTTCGTCTTCACTGAAACAACAAAATAAAAAGTGAATCTGTTTCTTGTTTGTGTGAAGATGAGAAATCATTTGTTTGTTTGGAGCTTCTGCTCAGACGAACTTTACTGTGAAATCAACAGTTTTTATATTTGTACTCTTTTGTCTTCCTGTGACTAAACTTCAGCTCGTGTTCTTTATCTTTAGCTTTTTTTCTTTGTAGCCTCCTCCATACAGTTTTTAAATGTAAATTCTTCTGCTCTTTTGGATCCAATCTGTTTCTCAAAATGTTCAGCTCCATCAGGAATCATGTTTGTAACTTTAAAAAACATTTACAAACTGTTTCTCTTCCAAGTAATTTCTTTAAAGACTTTAAAAATCTTTGTTTGTGCATTTGTTCTATTTTTTATATTTTATGCTAATTTTAGCTTTCAGCCTTTCAGGCAGTTTTTCCAATTTTAGCTAATTCTTTATTCATTTTTAGCTTACGTTTGGCTACTTTTGGATAGAGTTTTGTTAATTTCAGCTAATGCTGTGCTACTTTTAGCTAGCACTGTTCTGCTTTAGTTACTATTTTTTAATTTTGAGCTTTTTGCTCCATTTTGATTGTGCTATGCTTCATCCAACTTTTTGTTTTTGCTTTAGCTTCTGCTCTTTTTAGCTTCTCTTCTGCTCATTTGGCTTTTAATCTGCTTCTGTTGGTTTTAGCTTCTAGTCTGCTCATTTTAGTTTCTGTTTTGCTCATTTTAGGTTGTTAAGCAAATTTTACCTTCTGTACTGCTCATTTTAGCTTATGTTCGGCTTGTTCTAGCTTCAGTTTTACTCACTTTAGCTTCTAGTCTGCTCATTTAGCTTCCATTCGGCTCATTTTAGTTTATGCTCTGCTCGTTTTAGCGTCCATTCTGCACTTTGGGCATTTAATCTGCTCATTTTATCTTCTGTACTGCTCATTTTAGCTTATGTCCGGCTTGTTTTAGTTTTTGTTCTGCTCATTTTAGCTTCCATTCGGCTAATTTTAATTTATGCTCTGCTCGTTTTAGCTTCCATTCTGCACTTTTGACATCTAATCTGCTCATTTTAGCTTATGTTCGGCTTGTTTTAGTTTTTTTCTGCTCATTTTAGCTTCTCTTCTGCTCTTTTGGCTTCTAATCTGCTCATTTTAGCTTATATATTCTGCTTGTTCTACCTTCTGTTGTGCTTGTTTTGATTTAATTCAGCGTCTGGTCTTCCAGTGAACTTCAGCAGTCGTTCAGCTCTCAGACTTCATTCATTGGAGCTCTTTTTTTTAGCTGATACTAATCATCTAAAAGCAGCTGAAGCAATGGGACCTTCGATCTCTGTGGGTTTTCAGCAGTGGAGATGATTCAGTTTGATCAGCAGGAGGAGCTAAAGCTGCAAAAAACAAAGTAAACAATCAGACCATATGAAACGGTAAATTTTATATTTCACCAACAGCGCGTCATTTATTATTATATCTGGGTTTTTTTTGTTGTTTAACAGACGAACAGCTTGGAAGGTGCAGGTCTGCCTCAGATGGTTTGGATTCAACAGATTCATTACAGATCCTCCTGACTGTGTAAAAATGTGTCCAGATTGAAATCTGGGTTCATGGATCAGTTTTAGATCCAACTTCAGAGACTTCCTGCAGGGACCGACCCTCCACTGCTGCAGACCAACAGACCGGACCGAGCTGGTTTATAGATAAATATGTGTGTGTGTGTGTGTGTAGATGGACGGATGTTAATTAGTTAATGAGCCACAGGTGTGCACTCAGGGTGGTGCTGAACAACAGAACAGATGGTGAGAGTCGTCATTTCAGACCTTCAAGCTCTCTGGTGCTTTAGAATTGATCTTTAGGTTAAACGAGTCATCATCTGATCATCACGATGGACTGAGACGGTGTAGAGGTTGGGCAGCCGACTTGGAGCCAGAAAGTCGTGGTTCAACTCCCAGTCATGCGCACATGTCGCAGTGTCTCTGAGCAAGACACCCGATCCCTAACTGCTCCTCGGACACCTCCAGAGCCGCCCACTGCTCCACCTGGGTGTATC